AAAGAAATACAAAAGATCATAAGGGGGAAATAGATGCAGCAAATTTGAGGAACAGCAAGTCACACTGAGCCCTGTATCATTGCATGTATGGTGGGGGGTGGGGATATTATGGGCGGAATTAAAGGTGGTGAGAAATCATTCTTTCCTGACTCCAGAATCTTGAGAAATGAGACACAGAAGTTAAGTCAGGGGCGGAGAATATCTGCCTTTTCTGTCAAGAGACTCAGCTCCGATGTGTTTTTGCCCCACAGTCTGTATGCGTCCAGGTCTGGAGTCAGCGAAAGCTGGTTCTTCAGGAGAGAGCTTGCAAACTGGCCCAGGAACATGCGTGTCCAGCGATGGGGGAGCCAGGCCCCACTGAGCCCCAGCACACATTCATGCTGATTCTCACCATCCTCTCCACCTTCCCTTCCTCTGGTGGAGTGGGGAGGATGAGGATAAAGGGAAGATTTGGTTGGGTTTTTTTTTTTCCTCATAAGCCCAGGGCACGTGCAGGTGCCTCCCAGCCATGGCGCCAGCTCACTGCCTTTGGGTTTTATAGGCATTAAAGCTGAGCAAAGGGGGCAGTCCTGAGAGTTGCAGAGTTTGATTTGGGATTTTTGTTTGTTTGTTTGTTTGTTTTTAATTTAATCACCGTGAAATACAGTTACAAAACTTTCGTGAAAGAGTTTCAGTCATACAATGTTCCAACACCCAAGTCTCTCCACCAGTGTATATTTCCCATCAACAATATTTCTCCCCTCCCCTCCTCTCCCCTTCTCTCTCTCTCCCCTCTCTCTCTCTCTCTCTCTCTCTCTCTCACACACACACACACACACACACACACTTTGGGGCATTATGGTTTACAATACAGATACTGAGAGGCCATCCTGTTTGTTCCTTTACCCATTCTCAGCCCACATCTCCCATCCATAGCGATCCCTCTCAGAGTTTGATTTGGAAATGAGGATGGAGCAGAAAACCAGGAGCCAGCAAGGGACTCACAGAATGGGACCCCAATGAATGAGACAAGAGACAGCTCAGAGATCCAGAGGAGACGCCAGGCAGGTCAGAGAGACACAGGACAAGCAAAGAGCTCCTCAGGGAAGGGGAAACCAGGGGCTGGAGAGAGCACAGCGGGGAGGACGCTGGCCTTGCATGTGATGGACACAGATTCCATCCCTAGAAACCCATAAGGTACCCCAAGTCCCGCCAGGAGGGATCCCAGAGTCAGGAGGAAGCCCGAGCAACACTGGTGTGGCTCAAACACCAAATAAATTGTTTGTTTGTTTGTTTGTTTAAAGAAGGAAGCCAAGCATCTCCCCACTGACTTTACACCTTCTAACACAACCAGGATCATCAGCGAAAGTCATGATTTTTTGGTTTCTGTTTAATCACACAGAAAATTGCTTCGTACATCTTAAAACAAAACAGAGAATGATCCTCCATACAATCATGCATCTGTGTATATGTAAATAGATAGCTGTTATGTGTATGCAGAAATGTAGTTTTCAAAACATATACACAGTTTGCAAACTAGCCTGAGCACCAAACTCCACCCAGGAACATGCTATGAAGAATCAGCATCAACGAGCCCAAAGTCATTCTCTCCCCTGCACCCATCTCTCCCTCTCTCTCCCCTTCCCTCTCTCTCTCCTTCTCCCTCTCTCTCCTTCTCCCTCTCCCTCTCCAATCTCTCCCTTCTTCTCTCCCTCCTTCTCTCCTCCTTTCTCTCCCTCTTCTCTCCCTTCATCTCTCCCTCCCTCTCTTCCCCTTTCTGTCCCTCTCTCCCCCCTTTCCCTCTCTCTCCTTCTCTCTCTCCCTCTCTTTACATCTCTTCCCCCTCTCTCCCTCTCCCTCTCTCCCTCTCCCTTTCTGCTTCTCTCTCCCTCTCTCCCTCCCTCCCTTTCTCCCTTCCTTCCTCCCTCCCTCCTCCCCTCTTACAAATGATTTTTCTCTTTTGCCAGCTCTACTTCTAAATATTCCTAAAACATTCAAGGATTGCTTTTGCAAATTTAAGGGGGAAAAGATTTAAAAGTTAGATGAAGAACAAAAACACTGCATGACTTAATAGTTTGGGGTCTCATAAGGGATTCATTTCAACATTTACTTAGTAACATGTGCCATGTGCCATGTTACATGTGTCTGCATGTGCCAGGCACTTCTGCATCAGCAGGCTGAGTCCGGGCACACCCTCAAGGAAAGGTTTTCCCAGCGCCCCGCTTCGGGGCCCACTTGGCAGTCGTGCACAGGCTGGGGCTTCCTTTCCTGCCCTCCGTGTTCGACAGACCTCTGCCCTCTGTTCTCACAGACCGCTTCCGAGTGTCAGTGAACAGGGGAGTCCACAGCAGCAGGTGACTTGTTACAGCTTAGGTACCGTTTCTCACACCCCAACAGCTGGAGCTTCTAGAAAGCAGCCGGGAGGACACTAGAGTCAGAGGTAAGACCACCTTGGGTATGTTCCCAGCCTTCTTTGTGCTTTCATTCACCTGTACACAAAGCCGGGAGAAATGAGAGCTTGCATGATGGGTCTCCGCTAGGTGTGAAGAGCCTGGCTCCCTGGACTGTGAAACTGTCCACCCTCATCCTCACATCACCATCCCTACATGGATGGTGTCAAGGAGGGAAGCCGCTGGTCATCTCGACAGAGAGGACAGAACAAGTGACTTCTACCACAACTGTAGACCAGCCTTCAGACTCTTTCTCCTTCCCATTGCGGGCCTATTTCTTCTGTAGCTGCTCAACAGATTCAGCACTGTTACGGGGGCAGCTAAAAAGTGATATAGGGGCCGAAGAGATAGTGCAGTGGGTAGGGCACTTGCACACAGATGACCCGGGCTCCATCTGGCATCTCAGATGGTCCCCCGAGCACCATCAGGAGTGATCTCTGAGTGCAGAGTCAGGAGAAACCCTTGAGCATCGCCCCCAGGGCAGAGAACCAACACTGACACTGCATGCCTACATGCTCTCCGCAGAGCTGCATCCTGATCACACACTTCTGCAGGCAGAGCCAGAGCCGGAGGTTCGCTGTTTTCCTTTCTCTCTTTCGTACAGTCATACACACCTTTTCTGCCTTTGTATTTGCCTCTCCTTGTCCCCCTTCTCGTTCATTTTCATCAACAGACACAATCCGAAGCAGCAGCTGCACAGAACCAAGAAGATTGTGTGTATGTGCGAATATGAGTGTATGCACACGTGCACACATGTGTGTGTGTGTTCAGGCACACATAATCAAAGACTGAAAATCTAAAAATATATGCTGAAGTGATAGTACAGTGGGGAGGGCATTTGCCTTGCATGCAGCCAACCCAGGTTTGATCCCCGGCATCCTATATGGTACCCCCCACCATTGCCATGAGTAATTCCTGAGAGTGCAACAGAACCAGAAGTAACACCTGAGCATCACCAAGTGTGACCCAAAAAGTAGGAAAAAAAGAAAAAGGAAAAAACTGCAAATAACAAGCAAGAGTAATAGACTCCAGGGAGAACATAGGAGCACTAAAAAACTGCCACAAAAGAAAATTTTCTAATGCCCATTACTTTCTGGAGATAATTTTAAGTCCATGAAGAGGCATGATCCAATTGGCATAGAAATCAAACTTCATTTTTCCAGCAGAAAACAAAACTTCCGAGAGAATCACATAAGTCAGAAATAGTTTTCCCAGAATCAGTTATCACTACATCTAAGCTATTTTATAAATTACAAGTTTCTTTTAGACCAAAAAGTAACCCCAGGACCCTTTACCCACAATCATCCCCATGAACTTGCAGGCCTGAGACACACTCCCTGGCTCCTCCCCCTCCACCCTTTGACTGGACCAAATAACAGTTCAAGTCCCAGCAGAAAGCAAGTGATTCCGTGAAACACTATAGGAAAAAGGATGGCGAAGAGAATCACAAAGGTGTCCTCTCTTACAAAGTTGTACTATGCAAAGGGCAGAAAGTGGGTCAGGGCAGTGCCCAGAGAACATCCCAAATCTCTGCCGAGGGCAGCACCAGGTACTCGGTGACTGCCTCTCCACTGGCCACTGTTGCATCTTGCTCACCTGATGGCCAAGTGAAGATACAGTCTTGATGGCTCTAAAATAGACCCCAAGTCCTTGGATCACCCCGAGTTCTGCCCTAGCTTTCACAGCACAAGTTGAAAACAAGGCAAGGAGTTTGTGAGCTACTTCCCGAATCCTGCCCCTTCTAACTTCAGCACTTCCGTGAAATCTCCCATCCGGCAACACCGACCCCTCATGCACCCTCATGGCAAGCCCCAGGGGCACCACCCCACCATCTGGGGAGGTATCAAGCCTGCAGCTCTCCAGGTCTCAGCCTACCAGACTCCCGAAGGCGCTGAAAAAATTCTTCAAGAAATCTGTCTGGTCAAGTTAGCCAAGACCCATTTCAACAAAATCCTCTACCTCCTACCTCCTTGCAAAAATGTGGTATTTCAAAATAGCCCTCAAAAAATTGCAGGAAATCTCTATAGACGGAACCAGATTTTCACATTCTAGACCATCTCACATTTGAGATGAACTCTTCCAGGGCAGGGAGAGGGAGAAAAGAGCCCTGACAGAAAGCAACCCGCGTGAGGAAGCCAAGAGCTTCCTCCTCAAGGAGGGTGGTGAGGCTTCAGAGCCTACAGAGGTGTGAGGCTGCTGTGCCCACGACTCCCGGGTCTTGCCAACCAATGGCAGATCAATAGAGTTTGCTTTGAGAAGGGGAAAGCCCAGATCCTTGTCCCAGTCCAGCAGCACGGATGCCGAGTGTGTAGGGGATGAGACATATGACTGTATCTTTTCTCCTACGTAGGAGAGGAATGGGTTAAATGTTCCTCTCAGTCCACTAACTCGAGTGTGACATCTTTTTAAGAATCTCTTCTGAAAGATTCCTCCAAAAGGACACTCAAATGGGAAAGGTTCAACTCATTCGAGATAAAGTTAAACTTTTCTCCGTGTTAAGAAAAAAAATTGAATCATCTATAAGGGGATATGGGGGGGGGGGAGTTTCCTCTCCTAAGTCTCGTTCCCTCCTCAGAATGATTTTTTGCTCAAGGTTTTTTTCAAGGCAACTTTGACATCCTTATTCCTCAGGCTGTAGATTAAGGGGTTGAGCATGGGCACCACAATGGTGTAGAACAGGGAGGACACTTTGCCTTGGTTCATGGGTAAGAGAGAAGATGGTTTAAGGTACATGAAGGCCCCGGACCCAAAGAAGAGCGAGACGGCCAGGATGTGGGAACTGCAGGTGCTGAAGGCTTTGGACCGGCCAGCAGTGGAGCGGATGCGGAGGATGCTGCCCAGAATGAGGGCGTAGGAGATAAAGATGGTGACCGTGGGCACCCCGATATCAATGCCCACCACAATAAAGACCACCAACTCGTTGACAAAGGTGCTGCTACAGGCACGCTCCAGGAGGGGGAGGATGTCACACATGTAGTGGTTGACCAGATTATTGGCGCAGAAGGTCAGCTGCACCATGCATGCCGTGTGGGCCATGGCCCCCGCAAAGCCCATCACGTAGACCCCCGCCAACAGTAGCAAGCAGACCCACAGGGACATGCTGGTCGTGTACACTAGTGGGTTACAGATGGCCACGTAGCGGTCATAGGCCATGGCCGACAGAATGAAGGACTCCGAGACGACAAAGAAGAGAAAGAAGAAGAGCTGGGTCATGCACCCAGCATAGGAGATGATGTTCTTCTTCAGGACAAAACTCATCAGCAGTTTGGGAGAGATGACAGTAGAATAACAGAAATCGATGAAGGACAAGTTGAAGAGGAAAAAGTACATGGGGGTGTGCAGGTGGGAGTTCAGGCCGATCAGGGTGATCAGGCCCAAGTTCCCCACCACGGTGATCAGGTAGAAAGCCAGGAAAAGGAAAAAGAGGGGCATCTGGAGGCCCGGCTGGTCGGTGAGGCCCGCCAGGATAAACTCCCTCGCCGAGGTGTTCTCAGCCACCGTTCTCATGTCAGGTGTGCTGTGGGAACAAGGAAAGTCCCTGAGAACAGCAGCACCACACTCCCACCCACCTCCCAGTTGTCAAGAACTGGATTCACTGAGAGTCTGGACGTCCATTCTCCAGGGCACTGCCTCCAGAGTGCCCTCTAGAGGATGGACCTGCCTCCACGATGCTCACTCACGGGAAAGAAAGGACCCAAGAAAAATCTGGAAGCCAACTCCTGACTCCACTGTGTCCTTGCAAATCCCTTTCCCGCTCACACTGACAAACACAGGGACCCCTCTCTTCAGAGTCCTCGCAGAGGTGCTCCACGCCTGGAGCATCCCTCTTAATCAGCCTGGGCAGAGCAAAAAATAAGTACTGTATGTCCTGCCTGGGTGGGCCTGGCCTCCGTCACTCACCCTCCTGCATGCAGCCTGGAGGTCACTCACCCTCCTGCAGCCTGGAGCTTCATCAGTTACTGCTGTGCCCAGCTCTTATTCTAACTGTCCAGACACAGGAGGAAGATTGTGCAGACCCCCAGTCCCTGCGCTGGTGGGGGCAGGGGGGAGAGCCTGGGGAAGTCTGGAGTAGCTCTCTGAGCTAAAGCACTGGGTGTTCGAGTGACTCTCTGCCCAGAGCCATTTTTTCCAGCTTGCAAAGAGGAGACAGCATTCGGGATTGGAAGGGGTGCCAGCCGAGGACAGAGACTTGGAGATTTTATTCTGGGTTTGGAGATCTAGGGACCTGATTAGAAGCAGAAAACCAGAGGTTCTCTTGGGACCACAGTCCTAGAAATTAACTTCTAGAAAGGAAAAAAAAATGAGCCGGTGCTTATACCCTTGATAATACTTCAATGAGCTTGTAGAAATGTTGTTTATTTGTAAATGAACAATGGTAAAATATAAACCATTATCTTAAAAAAAATTACCATTTCTTGAGCAACAACACAATTTCTTTTTTTATTTTGATAATATTTGATAATATTTTCTTTTCTATTTTACTTTTTATTTTAATGAATCACCATGAGACACAGTTACATACTTACAAATTTTCATGACTGCATTTCAGCCAAACAGTGTACAATACCCATCCCTCCACCAGTGTTCATTCTCTACCACCAATGTTCCCAGTATTCCTCCCCTTACCCCCACCCCTTCCTACCCCCTGCCTCTGTGGAAGGCACACTCCCTCTAACTCTCTCTGTCTTTTGGGTGTTATGGTTTGCAATACAGGTATCAAGCGGCCGTCATGTTTGGTCCATAGTCTACATTCAGCACGTATCTACTATCCCGAGTGATCCCTCCAACATCATTTACTTAGTGCTTCTTTCTCCATCCCAGATACCTTTATCCCCAGTGCATGAGATCATCTTCTAAGCTGTGTGTAAATCCTCCTGACCCTTATTTCTACTGTCCTTAGGGATAACACAATTTCTGACTGAGCACTATATGTTGACCCTCAAATGTTCAGATCAAATAGAATTTTTCAACTAAAACTTCATTTTAGTTCTCTCCCCAACCCTAGGAAAACTAGGTCTTATCAGCGCCAGTTGAGAAAATAACTCGGGTGTTATATTCCAAACGCTGAACTGAAAACCAGATCCTTCCTCCTAATTCAAACGTGATGTCCTAACATGTGTGTTTAGGATGTCCCTGGGCTGGGTGATTATGGAAGGTAGAAAGCAGAATCCTTCTTTTCAAGGATCTCTTGGAAAAGACAGAACACATCTAAACTAAATGAGAGAAATAAAACCTAGTAAGACCCAGGTCAGGGGGGAAAAGAATCCCTGTGAGTTCAGCAGTCACCCCCACTCCACCCCCATCTCTAGACTAATGGCAGAAGAGCACAACCCACCAATAGAGCAAGAAAGCAGCCTGGCATCTACTAGAAAAGGAGCCGGGCAATAAAAACAACCCCCATCACTTAAGAATGGCTTTCTATGCTCGATGGGCTGAGCCCAAGGTCTCACGCGGGAGGCCTGAGTTCAATCCTCAGGACTGCAAGGTCCCTCAGCCCTGAGCTGGGAGTAGCTCCTGAACAACACTGGGTGGAACCCCCAAACCAAAATCGACAAAAAGGAGTCATTTTTTCCCCTAGGCTGTTAATTTTTCGGAATTCTTCTTGAGAATCCATCCCTTCCTGCTCCCCATATTCTGAGGTACTGACCCGGCATGATGAATTTCGCAGCATGATCTGTCCCACCAAGGGACCTGCCCATCTAGGTTTCCTGTTTGGCTGACTCTACCCTTTTCCTGATTCCCCTTCTTTTGGGACAGTCATCCCTCTGCATCCTGGTCTCTCACCATCTCACTTGAGCTCAGGGACAAGTATTTCCAGCCTCAATGGCCTCCAAGATTGAGGGGAAGAGCAATAGTTTAGGGGGTAAGATGTTTGTCTTGCACGCAGCTGACCTGGGTTCAATCCCCAGCATCCCAAATGGTCCCCCCAAGCAATGCCAGGAGTAACTCCTGAGTGCAGAGCCAGTAATACCTGAGCATCATGGGGTATGACCCCAAAGGCAAAGAAAGAAAGGAAGGAAGAAAGAAAAAAGGAAGGGATGGAGGGAGGGAGGGAGGGAAGGAAGGAAGGAAGGAAGGAAGGAAGGAAGGAAGGAAGGAAGGAAGGAAGGTTTGAGAATCATTGAGGAGGCTTCCAGGGGTCTGATCACTTGGGAACTGGAGGCTCACGGAAGACCTGGGCAGAGAATGGTTTCTGAGCTGGGAAACTAGATAGGCATTGCCTGATTCATCAGTACCAGGGGGGACTGGAGTATGTCCTACCAAGCTTCCAAAATGCCAGGAGTAGAATTTCCAAGCCTTCTTAGCCTCGCATCTACAGAAGGGCCCCTGACACCACAGCTGACTTTGTGACCATTCATTTCTGTCCATGAACCCAGATGGTTGGGGACTAAGTTTATTCACTGTAACAACTCCAGGATCCAGCAAACCACCCAGCTTGCGAGCTTAGAAAATGTTTATAATCTCAGGCTCTCCACCTCCTCATCTGAAAAATCCAAACAAAGATCATCATTCATGGGGCTGAGCTAAGGGTTAAATTCATCCATGAGGTGGAAGAAACCAGCAAAGGAAGCCAGGGGGAAGTAGGTGATAGATAAAGGCTGAAGGAGACTAATGTGGAAAAGAGAAAATCTGATCATTTAGGGAGGGACTGCAAGAAAGCGTGGTGAGGGCTAGGTGTGCCCAAGATGAGCTGAACACCAGCAGAATGGGGAGGAAGAAAGAGTTGGTGAAAGTTATTTGTTTTTTACAAATAATGTCTAAAACCGAAGAAAGGCCCAGGGTCATGAACAGTCGCCCCCTGCCCTTACTTCTTTTTTTCTTTTCATTAGTGAATCACCGTGAGGTACAATTACAGACTTACAAACTTCTGTGCTTGCGTTTCAATCCTATAATGGTCGAGTACCCATCCCTCCATCAGTGCCCACTTTCCACCACCAATGGTCCCAGCATCCCTCCCACCATCCCCACCCCGTCGCCTCTCCCCCCACCCCACCTCTGTCCTTATTTCTTCTGACCCATTCTGATGACCTATTTAAAAACAAAAACAAGCCAAAAAAAAACCCCACTATCACAAAGCCCAAATGACAGACTCTGTAAAAGTTCCTTTTCCCAAACACTCAGAGTTCCAATGCTTGCTCTACCTACCCCTGCATCTCTGTCCAGCAGGACCTCAGCAAGGACCTGATTCAACAAGACGGTCTTCTAAAGTTTGGGGATGGGGTCGAGTTCACCCACATCCTCTTCTAGACTGTTTTTAAAAGAAGATACAAGCTTTTATCGGTTTGGTTTTGGTTTGAGGCCTCACCTGGCTCTGCGCTCAGGAATTACTTCTGGTGGTGCTGAGGGGACCGTATATGGGATGTTGGGAATTGAATCTGAGTTAGTTTGCATGCAAGGCAAGTGCCCTACCTGCTGTACTATCTCTCCAGCCCCCAGAGACAAAAAATCTTCAACCATGCATGAATGCACATGCAAATGTGTGTGTTTGTGTGTGTGTGTGTGTGTGTGTGTGTGTGTGTGTGTATGTGTATGTGGCAGGGGGAGGGGAAGAAAGGAGGAAGGGAAGTGTGTCTAAACAGTGAACTTTGAAGCAGCACCCAGATCTGAAGCAGTGCATGTGGTTCGGACAGGGGCGCAGGATTCATCAGGCAGCAGGTTAGAATCAGAACCAGGCACCCAGGCAGATGCAGGCCACCAACCCACACACTCACTATACTTCCCAGGAGCCCTGAGGCACAGGACACTGCATCAGAGTGTTGGGGGCACATCCACATCCCCACTGCTTGCCACTTCTCCAGCTGGTGGATATACCATCATGATGCTCAAAACATGACCACGAGGCCTCCAGCAAACCCGCCCTGGGGAACTTGCCACCGTCCGGGTAATTACAGGAAACCCCGTCTCTGCTCTTTTTCCTGCCACACTCAACGCACAAATTAAGGAAAATGAACCATGTCTGGAAACCTGAAACGAGCCATACAGGAAAGGGGCTCCTTGGGTCCCAGAAATCAAAGACCCAAGCTTCATTAGAAGTGGACTTTTCTCGAGGAGCCTTAGGGGGCTCCGGATTGGACGGCAAGAGCCAACAAAGGGCCCCCTGGAGTTGGCAAGGCTGCGCCTGTTGCCATGGGAACCACGTTTCAGACTTTCTCAGCTGGGGCTTCACCCAAGTCCTGTTCCCTGAAGAGCAGATGAGGCCCGAGCAGGAAGCAGTGTAGGAAGGACTATTCTTAACCATATTCCTTTTGTTACAGATCTGCCCTCTTTCCAAAACCGGGATCTCTTTATAGTGCATCCTTATTGTATACATTTCTATTTTTTTTTCCTGTCTTTTTCTTCATTACTGTCTATTTATGTCACTCCAAGGCTGACACACGCGAAAAATAGCAAGCTCTCTCTCCTGCATACGAACTAAGCCTCAGATTTCTGGTTGGGGCCCCTTGGCCCCTAGCACTGTGCCCATGCCTTAGTCCCTGAGGAGAACAAGCACAAACGACGACGCCCAG